GGCCAGGGGTACCAAGGCCAAGGGAGTCAGGGCCAGGGGTACCAAGACCAGGGCTATCAAGACAAGGGGTATCAAGGCCAAGGGGATCAGGGAAGTCAGGGGTATGGAAGACCCCGCTTTGACTGGAGGACGGCCATCTGTCAATATTGTGACCAGCAAGGCCACACTATAAGGTTTTGTAATATAAGACGGGAAGACAAGAGAAGCGGGCTGATTTCCTGTACTATGGATGGGGATATCTACGATCAATTTGGGGAGGCCATTGACAGAAGGCTTGGAGGAGTGAGAGCTGAAGCCCAACGAAGAGCGGCAGCGGGACCACCGCCCCCTACCATGTTCAGGCTATGGCAGGAAAAGGAGGAACCACCGTTTGGGGTAGAAGAAGTGGGAAGTGATGAGGAAGTGACTCAAGGGCTACGAGGAGGAAGTGAGACGGAAAATGCCATAATCATCGAGTCAGATGACGAGGAGGAGGGGGAAAGAATGGAGCCTCCGTCCGTCTTATTTGAGAAGATGAAGGACTTGCTGGATAAGATGGGGAGGCACCAACAAAAGTTGGTGGGCCTCTGTAAAGAAGTGAAAGGATGGAGGTCTAACATCCCCACAGTATTCCTCTATGACTCCGGTCCGGAGTCAGCGCCTGGGCGACCCGGAGTAAATGTGGTGAGGCCGTGCCCTCAACCAGGAATAAGGGGGAGACCCCTCACTCCGCAAGCCCGGCTGGCACAGGCAGCGCGAACGAGGAATCAAGCCAAGGCCAGTACCAGCCAAGAGCCTCCAAGGGGGGAACACGAACCAGGGAGAAGGAAGAAGACTGTAGAAGTAGAGGACGATGATGACGAAGAGGAAGAGGACGAGAGGCTGCGCAGAGAAGAGGATCAGAGAGCGGAGCAGCGGGCAAGGAAAAAGGGGATCAGGGGAGAGGCCGAACCGGTCATAAAGGGCGGACCGCCCAAAAAGAAGAAATACGTGGTCCGGTTGGAAGAAGGATTTGACGTAGAGAAGGTGATTGACCGGCTGCTGGAAGGGCATAATGACCTCATGAACCTGAAGGAAATCCTAGCGTCAGCCCTGCGGCTCCGCGATGAATTGGAGGGAAGGTTATCACGACGCCTGGTGCCCAATGTCCATCTGGGTACGATCCTGCCCAAGGAGGCAGAGTGGGCAGAGTCAGGTACGAAGATGGACTGGAAGTGCGTAGCCTGCGGTACGGTGGATTTGATGGTGAAGGGTTCCAAGTGCGCAGCAATGGTGGACACCGGGGCAGAGATGAACATTATTCGGGAGGCGGACGCGATCAGATTCGGGCTGGATATAGACCGTTATGACTGCGGTATTCTGCATGGAGCCAGCTGTAAGGCCGTGTTTTGTGGGACAGCCTCGAATGTACTCGTCGAGGTTGGAAAGGTGAAGGCCAGGGCATGCTTCTTCATAATGCCAGACGTGGACCATGAAATCCTCCTGGAGAGGTCATTCCTAAGCAGGACAGAGACCGTGATGTTCAACAAACATGTCGGGACGTTGATCCTCATCTTATGCGATCCTGCCTGCGGAAATTATGAAATAATTACTTGTAGGAACACCGGGCCAAGGAGTATAAGGAACTGGCCCAATCCAGGATCATTCACAATCGAGGAGTCGGAAGGGGAGCGCAAGAGGCTCTGGGCAGAGCCCGAAGCAGGAGAGGGGGTGTAAGCATTTTCCCTCAGCCTGTCAGATGTTGGGAATGCCATGGACCTGGTGGCCGCGCATGAGATGGCAGATCCGGATGCCATCCAGGCCTTGAGGGAACAAGTTCTGGAATGCCCTGAGGCAGGAAGGTTGGAACTGGTATATCGGCTCCCAGGCAGTGGAGGGAACCCCGCATCAGCGCAAACACAATCTGTGAGTCGGCCTTTTTTAGGGGACGGCTCAAGCAGGGTTCCCAAAGGCAGTACAAGACGGTAGATAAAAAGTGCCGCCCAATACCCGTCCTCGTTACAGAGGACGAGGAAGCATATTACGAGAGAGAACGAGGGTTGATTCTACAAATGAGGGAAAGTGTTTTAGCAGGGCCATGTCGTATCAACGAAGGGAACGAGAAGGAGTTGATCATAGAGGAGTCTGATTTCCTGCTGCCTCAGGAGCGAACACTGATGGTGGAATTAATGAAAAGAAAGCATCGCGCCTACGCGTTTAGTGACGAGGAGCGTGGCAGGCTGGATGTATATAAGATACCTATGATCCGCATCCACACCGTGCCACACGAGCCTTGGAACATGAGAGGGGCGCGATATCCCAATCCTGATGAGGAAAGGAAGGTGGTGGATTATCTTGACGGCAAGATACGTACTCACGTCGCCGAYTATTCAAGTGGACCGTATGCGTCCCCGTGGTTTTGCTTTATTAAACCTAACGGGACGCTGCGGTGGATGCAGGATTTGCAAAGATTGAATGCACTGACCGTGCGAGATGCTGGAGGACTGTCGAATGCAGACGCACTGTCGGAATCCTGTGCTGGAAGGCCTATAATTTCGCTTATAGACCTTTACTCAGGATACGATCAGTTCCCAGTCTACCCGCCGGATAGGCCGGTGACAGCTATGCACACGCCGCGAGGATTAGTCCACATGAACGTTGCCCCACAAGGGTGGACCAACGCAGTAGCAATGGTCCAACGGGCCATGATTTGGGCCATGCAGTCAGTCAACCCCCATATCACACAGCCATACATTGACGATTTGGCAGTGAAGGGGCCAGCGACGAAAGAGAGCGACGAAGTCTCACCAGGGGTAAGGCGCTTTGTCTGGAAACACATTCAGGACCTCGAAAAGGTCCTGAGCCTGCTCGAAGAGCATAACCTCACGGCAAGCGGGGCCAAATCCAGACACTGCATGAGGGAAGCGACTATCTTGGGGATAGTCTGCAATGAGAAGGGCCGAAGGCCGGATGTGAAGAAGATGGACAAGATTACTGAGTGGCCAGTTCTGTTCCACTCAATAACTAATGTCAAAAGCTTCCTTGGTACGTGTGGATTTTGGAGGGCCTTCGTCAAGAACTTTGCCGCTAAGACTGAACACCTGAGGAAGTTAGTCCGTCAGGATTAGGAATGGGTATGGGGAGAGGAACAAGAAGAGGTGGTAGCAAAAATGAAGGAGGAATTTCGAGAAGGAGGGTTGGTGTTAGGAGCGCCAGATTATGACGCCACAGAGACGCGACCCTTCATTGTCGAGACGGATGCGGGGCCGACTGCCTTAAGGGGAGTTCTAATTCAGGCAGACATGGAAGGGAAGGAAAGACCCTTGCGATTTGAGAGCCGGACTCTCTGTACTACGGAGAGGAACTACTCTCAGTTCAAGAGGGAGACCCTTGCTGTCCTCCATTGTCTGCGAATCTTCCGGAATTATATCTTTGGCAGTAGGTTTATTTTGAGAGTGGATCCGACCGCCCTGGCCTACTCTCTAAGGAATTACGTTCCATCGGATCCGACGATTGTCAGATGGCTGACGTACATCTGGATGTTTAATTTCGAATTGGAACGGATTCCTGGTAGTAAGAACCGGGCGGACGGGCTGAGTTGGATCAACAGGGATAAGTAGGAAGGGAAGGCGGTGGAGAATACGCCCCCAATTGATGGATTTCTGGATCAGGAAGAAGATGWTCGTCTTCATATCAACAAATGGTCACCGCGAGTGCCTAGCTGTTTAGGCTATCCTATCTGGCAAGCGCCGAAGGGGTATGAAAGGAGGAATGAGTTAGTCCTTAAGCCCTTTGAAGAAGAGGATCCCTGGGGCGGTAAGGATGTTCAGTGGATGATGGAATTASCGCTGVCCAGCTCGCATAGCCTGGTGGAGGATATGAGGACGATTGAGGAAGGACCTGGCCAGGWAGAACGGCATGAGGACCTGATGGGAGGAATGTATCTCCTCGTCAATACGTTATTGCAGGAAAGCCTAGACCAGTCGGGCTCGTTGAACCCGGCAGGGAATGTGGACGAAATACCCGAGAGCCAAAACGACGAATTCGAAGACGGGGAAATTAAGGAGACTTTTCGTGCAGAGGAGTACGACAGGATCTACCTAGAGCTGGGGCTTCTTCTGTCATGTGAAATGCGGCTAAGAGATGCGAGCGATAGGGCTCAAAGGATGTTGCAATGCTACTTAGTGCGAGACGGTCACCTTTTCGTGAGAAGGGAAGTGGGGAATCCCAGAAGGGTCGTCTGCGGTAGGAATCGTCAGATCGACGTCGTAGCAGCCCTACACGATGGCATTGCAGGAGGGCATCGAGGGGTATAAGCCACGTATGTCAAGATAAGTGAGCTGTACTACTGGGATGGAATGATAGACATGGTCGAAAAATTCTGTCGATCTTGCATACCCTGCCAGGAGAGATCCCGTTTAAGGCAGGGAGAGCCGCTGCATCCAAGGTTAGAGCGGGAGGTAGGGGCCGTAGTGCATCTCGATCTGCTTTTTATGCCACTTGGGGATGAGGGCTATAACTATATCTTCGATGCGCGTGATAACCTGTCTGGGTTCGTAGACGGGCGAGCTATTCGCACAAAGACCGGGTCAGTCCTGGTAAGCTGCATCGAGGAGTACTACCTGCGTTATCCTTTCGTCAGGGAATTCGTAATGGACAGGGGATCAGAGTTTACCTGTCAAGAGGTGCAAGAACTGTTAGCAAGATATGGTGTGGCATCCAACTACACCACGGCCGCGCACCCCCAGGCAAATGCTCCCGTAGAGAGAGGACATAGTACCATTACGAACCTCCTGGCCAAATGGACCGAGGGTAGGCCTAATCAATTGCCAAGATACCTAAGGGCGGCTTTCTTTGTCGAGAACATTACAGTAAAGAGATCCACCAAGTACGCACCTGCGATGTTGTGGTACGGAAGGCATGCCACCTTCCCTATCGAAAACTTTCTTAAGACGTGGAGGCGCCGAGATCTGGAAGTCAACCTGTCATTTGAAGAGTTGCTCGATATTCGGGCGCGGCAGGTCGGGGCGATAGAAGAAAGGATCCAGGAGGCATCTGATCAGGTGGTGAGAAACCGTATGGATGATAAGGCCCGATGGGATCAGTCTGCGCGAGTGAGGAAAGTACCCTTGGCAGTCGGGGATGTCGTGCTTCTCTACGATACGTCGCTGGAGAAGCAGTGGTCCAGGAAGCTCGATAAGAGATGGTTAGGTCCCTACCGAATTGCACGGGTCGGAAACTTCAGAGCGTACCAGATCGAGGAGTTAAATGGGACTGAGTGAAAGGATTGGGTATCTGGAACGCGACTGAAGAAATCCGTGGCGAGAGAAGAGGTAAGAGAGATGGTCTGACCGCCCCTAGAATAAGAAGTAACAGGGTGTGTAGGTTAGGAAGGATGCATGCTGCATAAGTGTAGTCTGGTCTGAGCTTGCTCTCATTATCACCTGCTTGCTTACCCCAACGTGTGCCTGTTGTCTCCTTCGCCTGTTGTGCAGGTCTGACTTTACGAAGACAGCCATGCCAAGAGGAGGGAAGGGGACACGGCCGCCTCAGAGGCCGTTGGGCGCATCAGGAGGATATGAGCGGCATGGGCCTCGCCAACGAGAGAGTACTCTTGTCTACAATGATGGGGACATCGAGCTATTCCTGGACAGTTTCTGGGAGCATGCGAGGTGTATGGGCTGGACCGTGACTCAGGCAATTGAGAGATTGAGGGGAGCAGGTAGGTTCGAGGAGCCCATTGCCAGGATTCGTAGGGAGGCGACGACGAGGCAGGAGGTGGAGATAAGGATGGAGGAGTTGCGACCCTCGCCTGTGGGACCTGATGGCAGGCCGATCCGCCTGGAGATTGGAAATGCGTCGGACTTCATCCCCGCGTTTGAGTGGTTCATGCAAGAGCAAGGCATACAGAGAGATGATTGGATGCAGACACTACCACTCTGGACTAGGAAGGCAGAAAGGCCACTGGCTATGCAGATCAGGGACATGGCACGAGATTGGGAAAGTTGCAGGGCACATTTGAGAGAGGCCTTTCGACGGCCAGAGCTCCCTCAACCCAGAGTCGAGAGGCGGCAGAGGAGTCAGAGGCCGAGGGACCCTGAGCCCAAGGAGGCGAGACCATCTCGAGGAGGACGGAAGACCTTAGCCAGGAGAGAGCAGGAGCCAGAGGATGAAGAGCGAGGGGCATACCCTGAGTGTGGGTTGGGGCCAGTGGAGTTCCATCGTTTTACTGAGGGTGGATAGAGGAGGTCGCCAGCACACACACAGGGGAAGCCACCAGCGTCAGAGGGGCCTTTGAGGGAATTGGAGATGCATTTGGATATCTCTCGGTGGAGGGCCTCGCTTCAGGGTGAGGAGCATGGAGAGCAGGCAGAGGAGGCGTCACGAGAGGAGGTGCCACGAGAGGAGGTGCCACAGGGGGAGATACCACGAGAAGAGATGTCACGGAAGGAGGTGCCACAGGAAAAGGTCCAGGGTACTCAGCGAGAGAGGGGGCTGGGCGGTGAGGGGAGATATGCAGGGAAGGAAGTGATAGAGGTTGGAAAAGACACGCCCCAACAGACGCCAGCAGTGGGTTTGAGACTCGGGGGTGCACCAGGGAGCACCCGGCAAGCAAGAGAGGGGTTGCAGAGAGAGGAGACCCCTTTACCTTCGTCAGAAAAGGCTTCTTCGCCAGAAGGGAGGGCAGAAAGGAGGAGAGAAATGGCAGCTGTAAGGAGAGAAGCTTTGATCCTGATTGATAGGCACCTAGCAGCTCATGCCCTGGAGCACCCAGACCTGGAGGAGCCAGCACCTGCAGAGCCACGCCAGGAGTTATGCCAGCCCGAGAAGGAGATGGAAGCAGAAATCCCAAAGAGGGTCGACCTCCGCATGAGGGAAAGGGTGCCAGCTGGAGAGACGGCCGAAGAAAAGAGGGCGAGACGAACCAGGCGGATCGATGAGATATGGCAGGAGATGCAGAGGTTGGAGGCAGCTGGGGAGGTCCCGGAGCAGCAGCAGGAGAGGCAGAGATCGGAGGCAGCAGGAGCACTTCCGGGTCAGCCGCCCAGCGCGCCAGCCAAGGCCCCGGAAATTCCTGAAATGTGGAGAGACTTCTGGGAGCAGAGAGGAGAGGAGCTTCCATCACCAGTCAGAGCTGGGTTTGGGGTGGCCAGGAAGGCGGAAGAAAGGTTAGATCGTAAAATCAAGTTCCAAATGAAGACCACTTTTGACCGGCACTTGTTATTAGAGGGCGATCTGGCGGGGAAGAAAATGAAGGAAGTCAGTCATGGAGTACGTCTAGAGGCTATGGAGGTGGAAATTCAGGAACTTAGGGCTTTGGTGGCCAGCTAGGCAGCTATCATTGAGAGCCTGAGGCAGCAAACCCAGGGAAAGGTGGACAGACCAGAGAGCAGCCGGCAGGGAGAGCAGAGGCAGCCAGGACAGAGATTGCCAGGACAGCCATCTGCGACAGAGCCTCGCCAGGAGCCGTCTATGGGGATAGTTATCCTGGAGCCAGAGGAGGCGAGAGCCCAGAGACAGGCGGAGAGAGAGGCGTTTGAGTTTAGAGCCTCTACCGAGCTCGCGACGCTGCCGGTGGCGGCGGCAGGCCCAGTCGTACGTTTGGCAGTAGAGGAGGGGCTTCCACCATCTAGCAGTGAGCCGACTCAGGGCTCGGCAGAGGGATCCACGGGCGTGCTCCTTGAGGCAGTGCATACTATGCAGGAGGAGGTGAGTTTGTTTTCACCTGAGCAAAGGATAGAGGAGCCTCTTGAGAGAGAGATGGGGATTGAGGAGGAGGGTGCCATCGAGGGCAGACTCCAGAAGATAGGCACACCTGAATATGGACCAGAGGAGATTGAGGAGCAGCCCACGGCAGTGCCAGGGGCGGCACTCGAGAGGAGGCCTCAGAGGTTGGACACGCCTGAGTACGTCCCAGCGACAGAGGATTTGAGAGGCAGACTAGGATTTAGGGCTACTGGATCAGGGTCTGGTGGACCAATTCCGGGGACAGAGCGGCAGAAAGTCATTGGTACCGCAGCTCCTCAAGCAGAGCATCAGGGGGTTATCAGTACCTTGGCAGAATCTCCTTCATCACCACCTCCTCAGCCCAGGAAGAAGAAGTATAAGAGAAAGGTTGATCAACTATGTTTCTACTGCAAGAAGAGCGCGCATCACGCTTTGGACTGTCTCGAATTTCTTGAGGATAAGGCAGCAGGGAAGATTTCAGAGGTAGGGAGTAAAATGTATGATAGATAGGGTAGGATAGTAGAGAAGTCCGCAGATGGACTTAGGGCTCAGTTATATAGGCAAAACCAGGAGGAGTTGAGAAGGTAGGGCCGACTTTGTGTATATAAGCGAACGGGCATTTTGTGAGGCATCAACTTAGGTTCTGTGTGATACTCTCTTAGACTCAGAAGACATTTTGATGATTACTGTTAATCTAGATCTGAACTCTAGTGTCTCTACTGAGTTGGAGTTTTGAGGGTCAGGGTGGTTTAGATGAGGCATGTACATATTTTGGTGGCCTACGCCCTGGTCTTTGAGAGACAGATCTGACATGTATTCTAAGGGTAACTGTAAGTGTGGGTTTGGTGTGGCTTGAGTTGAGCAAGCTATGATTTGGAGACACTTTCTGTGTGAGACATTGTACTCTCTGAGTGTATATTATGATGAGGTTTCCTTCAGGGACCATTCTTATATGTGACGATCACTTGTCTCTCTCACATGTGTGGTTGTACTCTGATGTATGATGAGTTTGTGTGGACAATGTGTGAAAAACCTTTTATGTATCTTGGGTATTGTGAATATGATTGTAAGTAAAACTATCTACTCCTCGATATACTTGTGCGACCTGCCCACGGCAGCTGATAAGGCAGAGTATAAGGGGAGGAAGCGCAGTCCGTCTGTGAAAGTTATCTAAGTTGTGATGAGGACCCATAAGATGGTCTCTGAGTGATGTTCTGTTTCATGATGGGACCCCCTTAGATTTTGAAAAAAGGAGGGGGTATTTTGTGATGTTTTGTGATGTAACGAAACCCCTCGTGATTTTGAGAGAGGGGGTGTTTTGTTTATGATGAGACCCTCGTGATTTGTGAAAGAGGGAATGTATTGTTTTATAGCGAGACCCCTCGCGATTTTTGGAAGAGGGGGTGTTTTGGTTATGAAAAGAGCCCCTTTTGGATTGTTGGAAAAGAGGAGTGGTTCTTGGTTGAAAGACTCATCCTCAGAAGTGAGTAAATTGATTTATGGCATGATGAGTTGTTCGATGGGTGATAAAGTCTGACGGAAAGGGGTCACTTTTTGTTTGAAATATTTGAAAAAGTCGCAATGAGTACAGGGCGAGAGATATCTCAGGGTGGGTGGCTGCTGGCTCTGATCAAGTCAAGGGTAACGGCCTGGTGGATTTAGCGGTGATTTTGTTTGTAAGCGTGCGAAGGAGGTCATGCCTATTGAAGGAGGGCTTGTAAATGCCTTCGGACTCCTGCATATCGCATAGTGGGCGTGTGATTTTGTTTTGCGACGCACCCGTTTAACCACTGGTGCTAATTCTGAGACATATTGAAGAAAGGCCAAGCTAACAGAAAAGAAGTTAGTACCTCTAGGGCGTAACCCCATTGGATGGCTGCTAACCGGCGCAACCTGGTTGCGAGACCACGGGGTAAGAGTTTAAGGGGAGTTACCCGCCCCAGGAAAATTACTCCGTGGGATAGTGAAGGTTGAGATTTTGGGAGGTCCTGATTGAGTGCCTATCAGGAGAAACCCTATCGTTGCGTAACCAACGAGTGTACTGCCGTTAAATAACAATGCGGTGGGCCGTAGTCCTGGTCCAAACAACCAGGCTATGGTGGGCCAAGATGGAGACCGGGTCTTTCTGTACTAGACTGCAGAAAGAGCGGAGTGGATATTAAGTTTACGTATATATTTGATTGCGAGAGATTTTGAGAAAGAAGGCGAGAATGCGTTCAAAGGTCTCGGTTAAGGCCCGCGTCCCTAGTTTTTGCCAGGATTAGGGGCACCCAACGAGAAGCCGAAGGTTATCTAGGACCGGAGAGAGGACGATTGGGAAGGTCTTTGGAACTTATGCTGCCAGTGTCCTAATTTCTGGACGGTATGAGGCCCAGGTTAGAAACCTGGCAGCATATAGTTGTGGAGGGATGGTTTGATGGAGGCCTCTACCCTGTGGTTGTCGGCTAATCGGATTGGCTCACTTCTTTCGTCAGCATTTGGAGTGTGAATGAATTTATAGCTTTGAGATTTGGCGAAGCGACGGGGATGTCGCTTAATATGCTTCGGTAAGGCTGTCGGTGCGAATATTCTTACAAGGGTATCCGCCCTGTTTTTTGCGAGTGACAGAGAATAAGTTTAATCTAAAGTTTGAGTGTACCGAACGCGTTGCGGCCGGGTCCGTCATTTACATTTGACTGGATGGTTGACTAGAATAGAGAGTGTGTGGGCGCGCAGGCCTTAGGCGCGCGTGATTTTATTTATTGATGACTGAAGGACCGACTTGATCGTCGACCAAATTTTATTTATTTGTTTCTGATTTAAACTAGGATTAATTGATATGGTAATTTTGAACTGGTATGTCTGACCGAGATGCGCGCGCGGGCATGGAGACCGGYTTCGACAACGGCGAGACGTCTGCATGATAACGGGTGCGCGTCACCAAAAGCTGGTGGAGCGATGGCTCGGGTTTTATATAGCTTCCGTGTTCCGCTTTTATTTTTCTTTTTCTCTTTTCACCCCGCCCAGTTGTAGCGCGCGGACCGAGGGGCTTAACGTACGTGCGAGCAGGTGGGTGATTAGCCCACGAGGCGGAAAGAAACTGACGTGGGCATTTCTGCAGGTGTACCGCCCGCCGCCTGCGGTTTGCTGTGAGAGGTTTGAGTGTGAGCATGCCCTTGGGACCTGGTAGAGGTGAACTACGTCAGGGCGGAGTAGGCCCGGGGACTACAGCCAGGGCACACAACTATGCTTCTGTRAGGCTCGGTTGACGGACTTGGGTATAGGGGCGAAAACTAATCGAACCCTCTAGCAGCTAGTTCCCTCCGGGGTTTCCCGAAGGATAGCTAGAGCTGTCGGGGCCATCTCCTTATTTTGCCGATCCGCACAGTGGCGGGCAGCGCTGATCTGGGTAGCGGGCGCTGAGTTCGCCCATGGGAAAGGTACCTTCCGACCATAGTCGGAAGGCGGTGTTGAGACAAGGCCGACAGAAGGGGCCACTGTGGGGTGTTGTCGGGGCGGAGTGAGGCCGACGAGGCGGCCGCAGAACCGAGGTGAGTACAGCAAAGGGGGTGGAGACCGGTCGGGCGGCTATACTGCGCAGCCGCAGAGGCCGATCGCATTCGAGCACARCCTAAGCGTTGAAGACGACGARKTGAGGAAAGTCGGAGGAGTGTCGAGGAAGGAAGTGASGAGGAYAATGGTGACTAAYGGAGRTYGGGGCGACAGGTAGCGAAGCCGAAGGGGTGGCYGGAGAGCRCAGAGTAGYGAGCCGAGGGAGCGGGGTGACGRGCGCYTGCAGTGGTAAGTGRAGTGAAGGGATGAGGGAGGGGAATGTACCTGGATGGGAAAGTGYGCCGGATACRTGCAWAGAAGGGGATGGCGGAAGCAAGGGCCGGGCGCAGCGGAGAAAGTACTACACCTCCGATGGTGCACAGAAACGGGAGGGAAAAGGGGCGATCYCRRGGTTTTTGCCCCGGACGAGCGCAATAGTAAGGTTAGAATTGCGAGGGAGTTAGTGCCTAGGGAGTTAGAGAAGAAAACAGTCGCGTGAGGCTATGGCGGGTGAAAGGAGCGATGGGGAGAGGAAATCGAGAGAACCACTCGATTCTTGACGGGATCGAGTGGAGAGAAGCATGAGACAGAGGTTGTTGAAAGTGGCGAATTCGAAGGTAGCGTTGTTTTCTTTGCTGGGTTAGTGGGAAGAACGGTCAGCAGAGGAGGAGCCCCGGGGAGATATGGCAGAGGGGGGCTATGTCAAGAAGGGAAAAACGAGCATCTCGCTCATTTCTGAGTGAAAACGAGCCAGSAAGGTTTTGGAACGGGGTTTTTTGGGGGTCGCAAACCCGATTCTGTAGCCAGTTTGGTTAGGTAGTTAGTAAATAGACGAGTTTAGTAAAAAAATTAGAGYGYGGGGGYGTATCCGGACGGCGGCTGTGGCCAGATTCACTTGGTCTTGGACAACCCAACGAAACAAGCAGTAGGAGGAGGGGCGGATACACACCTGGGYGCTTTCTCGAAGGAGGTTCGCTCCCTTGATCGGGAGACTTGGTGCGGGTATAGGCGGGCCGGGAGAACAGTCGAAGGGTGGACCGACCAGCCGGGCCACGCTGGCGTAGCCGTCRTTCGMTCCGCTCAGCCCACTGGCGGCCTCTCCAGATAAGYGCTGGGMTGACCGGGACCGCTAGCGGCCGGGTGAACTAAGGGACGTAGACGTACYGACGAGTGTGCAAGGCGGACGAGCAGSGGATGCTCGTCTGACCAAGCATTGACTGTGGCCGCAACCGTAGCRTCTCGYGGCGTACGATATAYAAGCTGYTRTTGYCGCAATAGGGGATCAAGCTGCTGCTATGCTGAGGGGCACCATAGGTGGTGTTGTGTGCCACRGTGACTTGCTACARCATACGGAAGGCCGAGGGTACYGGGCCAGGTGTGAACTACTGCTGCAACTGGCCKCAGCYAGTACTGTCTGCTGCATTCARGCACGGACTGTTGCTGYTRGCAACAACGGCTATAGACTGAGGGCAGGCTACCGCTTCAGCTGTTGTTTACTRCACATAAGCCGCRGACTGGGGACAGATATACCGTTGTGTACGAYGCACGGTCTGCTGCTACATGCCAAGCGCTGTTCACTGTTGTTTGTCGCTGCTGCGCACAGATGGCTGTTGCGGACTGGACAAGTTTTGYCACCACTGCTGTTGATCACCACTCAGTGYTGTTGTTGMGTACGKGCTGTTGTTGCGGGCGAATGCATATTGCAGCAGGCCACTAAGGGACGGGCTAGTGCTGTAGTTTGGGAGGTTTGACAAGAAATGTTACTTCGGTAGGTTGACTTTTCTGGCCAAGCTGTCAGTTGGTTGCCATTGCGGAGCCCTCAGGCGCTGAAGATACCAAGGCCCTCTCCCGCGAGTCTGAGCGCACCTCTCTTGGATCTGAGAGTCTAAAATCCTTCTCCTTTCTGCCCTTCTTACTCCCAGTCTAGTCCTTGGTTACGAGAGGAAGGCGGCAGGCGGGATCGCAACCCGTAGGTCCGCGTCAAGGCTCTGTGGGGAGTCCACCCACCGATTGCGGGAGCTCTGCCGGAACTCAGGAGGAGTT